AGGGATCAATTAGGTTTTGTTTGTGTTTTTCTCTACAAGCAGTTCAGATTATTTTTTTCCCTTACATTTTGTACTGGTAGGCTTTTATCTGTGTTTATGCATGATCTTGATGGCCACATGATGAAATTCTAGAATGTTTACTGTTTTCTTCTAGTGTGATTTCCATAGTGCGATGTTAATTGATATTTTCTTATATCTGTGCTTTTATGAAGAAATTTTGCTCTAACCAGTCAATTATTTTTTCACCTCATCATCCTGCTTCAACGATCTTTAAGAAGTGGCATTATAATATCTTGGCTAGCTAGTTGGCCAGGTTCTTTGATGTATCTTTCTTTGCTCTTTCCTTATCGAAATGCTTAATAATTAAAATTCATCGTTCTTTGAGTGTATTTAAAAATGTGATATTTACGTACCAAGGCTTTTGTTTTGCTACTTGACAGTGATTATTTAGTTGACAAACTTGTTTGGCTGCCAAAGCAAGTGGGGCACTTGGAACCGTTTACTGTTAAACCTACTATTTTGCATTCAAGCAACCACACTATACTTTCAAACGATTTTCTTTGTATATATCATTTTTCAAGCATTATAGAAGATGGAATCTTGTTTGTCTGGTGATTTTTTTTGGATAACATAGTTTTATAACAAGATAGTGGTGTTAAGAATGATAAGGCCAATTAATGAAAATTTCAGGAAAAGAAGAATACTTGACACAAAGTCAAGCTATCATGGGTAGATGGCGATGCAAATATCATAATACTAATTCCTTTTAAATTTTGGACATATTTTGAATAAAATTTTATTTTGAATTTTAAATTGAATCTTATTAATTTATGAGTTGATTTATGAAGGATAAAGTTATTTCTAGATAGTAGAATTAGGATTAAAGTTGTACCTTATGTTATAAGTTAGTTTAGTTGAAGGTTAAATTTAAATTAATTTATGCTATTTTTCTTGCTTATGATATGGTATTTCTTTTGATTGACGGTTTTTTTAATTTTCTCAAAGTATTTCCTCTCTATTAGGTATTATATCATTTGCAGGCGCTATAGCAATTATGGGTATGGTAACAATAATTGTCAATGTATCCAAAAATGGTTAGAAGATGAAAGATTGGAGTATTCCACAACAAATACAATTTATCAAATTTTTCATGGATTCCTGTCACTATAATAAAATTATGTGTCAGACAGCTCTTATCTTTACAAATTTTTTTCTAATTTCAAATGTCCTATGTACATTCAATTTCATATCTTAATTTGGTATATAAGCGCCAGTAGGGCTATCAAAGAAGTTCTTCGTTTCTAAATAACTCATGTTTGGCCCGTTAATAAATAATATTTAATTTGTTTGTTAAGTAAGCATGTCATATATAACAACAACAAGCTTTTGTCCTACTAAGTGGGGTCGGCTACTTGAATCCATTTTAATACGAACAATTTTTTTGAGCTTGATTTATAAATAAATTGAGCATGAGTAGATATTTGCTGGACCTTGTTTTGTTTGTTTCGGCTCAAAATAATTAAAATTAAATAAATGATATTTATTAAAACCTTTTTATATTGATTTTTTATATGTTATATTAAAAAAAAAAATGTTATAATTTATTATTTTTTTAATTAGTTGAGCTGAAGACAACCTGAAAACGACCAAACAAAGAATCAAGCACAAGCATGCTATTTACGAGACATTTTTGAATTAAAAAAATTGAATGAACTGAACATGAGAAAGCACTAGTCTCACTCATGCTCTGTTCGTTTACATTATCTAGGTCTTCTCAGCATCAAAGAATAAATCATTTAGCAAATGACTAATCAAATGACCACAATGAATAAATAAATTTGTATTTTTAAGGGAATAAATAAATTTGTATTTTTAACCTCATGTTGATAAGGTAGCACAACTGAGCTTTATCATTACCTGGCTACTAGTAAGTGAGCCATCAATAAAAGACCACAATATGTTGAGGAGAATCTATCTACCATGAGAGAGAGGTTCGTCAGAATGCAATTGCGAGATCTTTTTTTAATGGCAAAAGCAATGCTAGAGTTACTTTATTATAGTAGAATAATTACTTTCTGAAACATGTTTTATGATTTTTTATTACTCAGATAGAAATAAATTGAATTTGCTTGTTTGAATTAGTGCTCACATGCTTCATTGTGGTGGATTTCACAATATAAAAACTATATTGTGTTAACTTAGCTATAGAGCTTAAAATATAATGCTCAATTCTATCATATTATATTTAATAAAAGAGTCTGAGGCTAGATAACAGGCAAAATTTTTAAGAAAGCATACATTTTACAAAGTTTTTATATGCTTTATTAGGGTGATTGCAGCTTTTTGTATAGGTGATTGTAATATTCTTGTGGGAAAATCAGCTGTTTTGGAAGTTATATCGGTATTGTAAATATTTGTTTAAAAAAAAGTGGGTTGCAATTTTCTTGCAATTACCACGCACTAGTAGACCTTGTTGTAAAATGCAGCTTTCTAAGACAAATGTTTTAGATGCAGCAAAGAAACAATAGCTAAACAGAAGTGTCGAAGGGTTTTAGAAAGCAAAATAATGAAGATGAAGATAGTTTTACTATGAAATAATTTTATACCGATATTTTTGTTGAATGAAATAATTTTATTTTCGAATAGTTTGGCTTCATGAATATCTTCACACAAAATTGAAGACTTCATTAGCTTCTAGAGTTCTTGAAGCTAATACAAGTTGCTAAACTTATGAAGGAAACACAGCTTCTTCCATTTGACAAAAATTCCTAGCTTGCAATTGTAATGGAGGGAAAATTGAAAGTTCAGTTATAGAGGAGAAAGTAAACCACATTTTTGCTATTAAAAATTCATGGCATAAGCTTTACGGATTGCTAGAATTTATGTTTATAAAAGAGCCCATAACTTATAGGCAAGGAACAAAAAGGCACATTACTACTTCCTAAGTAGTTGATGTTGGTGGGCTGAAAAAGATGTATCGTTAGTTGTTTTTAATGTTGTATATGTATACTAATTTGGTTTTTAGGAAGAATTGTTCCTCGAGATGCAAGTCAATGTACAATTGATGATGGTATTTTTGTTCAAAATATGAAAAAAATAATTTTATCTTTATAGCTTCGGTTGATATGTTAGAGTTGCTTGCTACTCAAGATCAATGCTATTAAAAGCAATTTTTATGAGCAAAGTTATGTGATGCATTGAGCCTACACATCAGTTGCCTCGGAACCGCATACTCACAACAAAGCTATTGTTTTCTGTCACTTTATTGCATTGCATAATAGTTCTGCGTGCTTGGATGTAACTTACAAATAAAATTTGGATCAGATTTCATAGTTTGATTTATCATATTCCATAAAAACTAGGCACCAACATCCTCTTCGTTTTACTTTTTTGTGTAGTCATTGAGTTAGTGCTCTTTGGTTTATTTTTACACTTTCTTTCGCTAAATCCGGTTACTACTTGATGTTTATTGCCTTCATGCTCTATTGCTTTTTGATTTCTTATATGCTTCTTATTGACTTTTGATGTTGGCTTTAGAGCTTCTTGCTCACAAGCTTCTTCTGGAGATTGCAACTCTCAGATTAAAAACAAAAATTAACCGCCTGTTTTCTGGTTATTTACTGAATCTCTTGATTAATTTTTGTTTTTATATACTTTTCAATCACATAATTATTTATATCTTTGATTTTTTTATAACTAAAAACTACTTTTATAGATGTATCATTATATTCGTTGAAAATTATTAACTAATGCGGTTTTATTTTGCCTTTTTAAACGACTATTATATTTATATATTTTATGCTTATATCACATTCAGGCCATGAATGCTCAAATTTGTAAAAGTTTGCTTCTCTTTGAGCTTTGCACATTGAAACAGAAAAAAAAAAAGAAAACTATAATGGACATCACATTGCACTTAGCTCTTTGTAAAAACACTCAGAATTCAGAAATTCTCTTTGAATTAGTTTTAAAAGAGTAATTTTTGACAATTCATTATACAATGCACCCTTGATGAGATAGTTTGTGAGTTATACTCTTGGGTCTGTATCATATATTTCTAGATAATCCAGTTTTTGAGATAGGGATGTTATCTTCTATAAAAGAAAAAAAAAATGTGTTTATAAAAGGAGTGGATAAACATAGAATTAGGGTCTGTTTGGGGCAGTTGTAGTTGTTTAAAGAAGCAGCTGTAAAATCATTGAAGAAGAAGTTGTTATTCAAAAAATTATGGTGGCTATTACAAATATATATATATATATATATGAAAAACCGCAACTTTCTAGCAGCCGCCGCAGGTAGTAAGGTCTGGTGTCGACTACATGAATCCACTCAATTTTGATCATTAATCATCCAATTGATGATAGATCTTTATCTGTGGATTCTTATCAAACATTGTAGTTTGAAAATTTCTTTCAATCAGTTACTGTCGGATCATTTTTTGTGACATTTATGTTAGTTGGAACATATTTGATCTCAGATGTTCTTGTACCTTGCAACAATCTCATTCATAGTGCAGACAGTCTAAAATACAATTCGTGAGCAATTTTGTTTTATTTTTACTTGTTTTAATGTAATCACATTCACATCATATGTGGTCTTTGATATATGCTTTTATCCCTATGAATCTTGTGGCATATTTAAAAAGCCATTGATTTGCACTTACTAGTTGGCTGTTAATGTGATAAGTACTTGCTTAATGTAGGCATCTTTATTCATCCTCCTATGTGCATGTTGCCAGAAATACAACTTCTTCAGACCTTCATGACTCTATAAGTGAACTTTCATACAAATATGTTCCTTATATTACTCCTTATGGCTTGTCTGAGAATATTTATTTCAGCAATCTTTGACACACACACACACACACACACATACACACACTTTTTGAACAGGGTAAATATTCAATCTTTCTTTTTTCTTTTCTTATGATGAATTGGACAATTAACATTTAATGTGATCTTAAGATTGGAACTATGATCTTAGAAAATTTCTTTCTCCAGATTGAACATGTCCCTGTTCATCCTCCTGTACTTGGGATGGGCGCCTTTACTCCTGTCGGTCAGATGACTGCTTTACATCCTTTTGTTATGCACCAACATGGACTTCCAGAATCCGTATCATCTACAAATTCTATTATTCTTCAATCTCATCCAGAAAATCTTCAATCAATGTCTGTAATTCCAGTCCACCATTGGCAGGAGCAGCAGGTAGTCATTCTTTCAAATTTCAAAGTTTTTGGATTTTTCAAATGCCAACTTTGATTCTTTTGCAGGTAGTTCGAGAAGTTTCTCAAGTTCCGAATCAAGACAAATACCATCCGTTGCAATTGGAGCATAATCTTCTTAGATCTCATTCTCATAATAGCCATGAGCTTTCTGCTACAGAGAATGTACTTCATCTAGAATATCTTAGCTCTCCAATGAGTCAAACACAGAGGTCCGGTTCTGAAACATTTGTGTCAACTGAACAAATGAAGGTTAGAATGATCATTCTGTTAATTATCCAATCTTAAACCTTCCTTAACCTTTGAGCCTTTTAATACTTCATATCAGGTCCCCGAATCTACTGATAAAGCTCATCATGTTTCCCAAGAAAGGCAGCAGGCAACACCAAACAAGAATTGTAAATTTAATGCTCCATTATTTGAACCAACTGAGCAGACAAGTAAACAAGAGGTTTGAGTAACTGTCATTTTCATTAATTTATCACCTAAAAAATTGTATTATCTATCTTATTACATCTACTAGGATTACACTTTTTATATTTTTTTAATATAATCTATATGTCCTAGATCAGACCGTAGACTCAGCAACTAATGGACCGCATCGGCAAGTTTTGGAATTAGCTTCCATTGCGCCTGAAAGTGCTGCTCAAATTCATGGCATTAATGCCAGCAGTGCTGAAGAATGCGCTGAGGATAACCTTATTATTCCTGCACCTTCTGCTCCTGTTATTGGAGCATCAAGCTCAATGTCCACAAATACGGCAAAAGAGCCCGTTCTTCTAGATGAACGAGCACTTTTGGCTTGCATTGTTCGGGCAATTCCAGCTGGTTCTGATGGTCAAATCAAAATTAGCACCACCGTAAGTTTTCTTCATATTTTGAGAACTTTTTGATCTAAAATTAGTCTTCACCTACTTCATCATAAACCTTCTGCATATTACTCTGTTGCTTATAGTTGCCAAATAGGCTTGGAAAAATGATTGCACCTCTTCACTGGCATGATTACAAGAAACACTATGGAAAGCTTGATGATTTCGTGTCTCGTCATCCAGAAGTAGGTCTCCACATCCTCTTTTGGAGCTTCTTAAACATCTATCCACTATTGTTGCTGCTATTATAATTCCTGAGATTTGTTTTTCAGTTGTTTGTAATTGAAGGAGACTATATTCATCTCTGTGAAGGAGCTCAAGAAATTATTTCAGCTACTGCAGCTGTTGCAAAACTTGCAGCGGTTGCTGCATCAACTCCTCCTTATTCTTCACTATTACCTTCAGTTGCTGTCACCCCAATTTCTCAGAGCAATCGCAATAAAAAAGTTGTTAATTCTGCTTCATTCTTAAAAGATGTTACTGTGAACAATACTGGAAATTTATCTGATAAAAGCTCTCAGGTTTTAAAAACACATGCTCAACAACAAAATGGCGTCAGCATTAATATTGTTCAAGGAGTGGCAGATATAACTCTCTCTAGCAGAAAAATTTCTGGTGAAAATAGCGGTTTGATTTCTACGATATCTGATCAGTTTAATCGAAGCGATCTTGCAGGAAATGGTTCGAACAATGCATCAACGAATGGAAAAGTTGTGTTTGTAGGAAAGAAACCAGGAAGGTAGCTATATTTGTGGCTTAGAAAGTTAGGAAGATTTATCACTTTTATGTTTTTTTAGAAGATTTACATACGTGCCACTCAATTCTTATGTATTTACATATCTAATACCTATACTTCAATTTTTACGCAATGCCACCTTACCTATACATGAAAAGGTGCATTTCACTTTTTAAAAGTTAAAATGGTGTTATTTTTGATGTGATGTGAAAGATTTTAGGTGTCATAAATTTAAAAGGTAAAGTTTAGTTGTTAGAAATGTAAATAAATTGGAATTGCGTGGTATGTAGGTTAATGCCCCTTTTTTCTGCCTAAATTATGATCATACCTCCCCACCATTGCTTATAGTCTCCTTTTGCCAGGGCCTCTGGGGTCAGGGTGATCTCAAGAAGATAGTGACACCTCTCGTGTAAGTTCTGCTCCTATGGTTTACAATTTATATTCCATAAATGGCGTGAACCTTTTATTTAGCCAAATCTCTTTCAGCTATAGGTGTTACACAAATAAATGCTAATATGCTGTGCTACTGTGATTTTTTTTTTTTTTGGACTTTGATTCTGCTTATTGTTTTCTGAATATCGAAATGGCGTTTTTGCAATCTTTAATCTAGTAGTGGTCTTTTCTTTTGTTTGAGTTCATGGTTTAGCTTGTTCTAGATTTTAGTGTAGTCAAGGTCTAGAAACTGCAATTTCAAAATTTAGGTTGCTCGTATTGGTAATTTCTTTCTTGTTATTTTAGCTGCTTATATTGCTTTTAGTACCTTCTGTGCTCAAACCAGCTGCCCTTTTTGAGCTAATGGGAGAGCCGTGCTTGGTTTATGTAGAGTAATAATTTTATTGCAACTTTGATTTAATGAAAGCTATCTTTATGTATAGCATGAGGCCAAGATTTCATATTTTGGTAATTTTTTTCCTTATTTATTATTAGGGGTTTTTACATAAATGGTATGGGAAACCTTGTTATTTATGTATCTCACGCGCAAAAAATTATTATTATGGATTCTGAATGCAAAACCCCTCCCTTAAACGCTTCCGTCCCTCGCCTCTCCTTTGCTGCAGCCGGGAAAGCAGCGAAGGGATCGTGGGGAACAAAGATCTCCGAAACTTCCATTTTTCTTCTCCTTACATCCGTCTCATACCCGAAACCATTGAGGAAGGTAGCCCTTATTTTTTTCCCATCTTCTCTCACCCGCTGCCTTTCCAAGCTTCAATTTCTCTAATTCCTCCCATACTGATTAAGGTAAAACAAAGCAAAGTCGGGATTTAAGACCGTGTAGGATTTAGAGATGGCATTTTTGCTGTGGCAGGAGAAATGGATTTTAAGTTGCTGCAGGATTTATTGTTGTCAGTTTAATTGATTAGCAGATGGAGGAGAAAGATGGGGTCATGTGAGTTTTTAAGGACTTTGTATGCCGTGATCCCGTCGACCAGAGAAGCAGCGGGGCTGGGGTGGTAGAGGAGAAAGAAAGGAGTTTCAGATGTCTTTGTACGCAGCAATCCCATCGAGCGGAGGCGCAGCGACTTCGAGTGAAGGCTGATTGTTGTCATCAGCGTTCCCCTGCTGTCTGTTGTCTGCTCGTCATGTTCATCTATGGAGCCTGTCGGCCGTCGCGCTCCACCTAATGTTGATGGAGGCGTTAACGTGAGAGTTCAGTATTCAAAATCCATAATATCAAAGTATTGTACATGTGATAACGTAAATAGAGATGTTCCTGCTGCTATGTATATAAAAAGCCCTTGTTCTTATTATTATTATTTTTCTCAGTTTATTGGTGCTCCTGATTTTATTCATATATGGCAACTATAAATCTTTTTGTGACTATTGAATTACTGTTTCTTTTTTTTTTTTTTAACAATTTTGAATCCCTCTTGAATTTTTTGTAAACTGCAGGTATTAGATGGTTTTGGAACCCCTCAAGTGAGCGTGGGATAGTTTATTGTTCGGTTCGTTTTCAAGTATGAAAGCTTAATCTGATAAGATGACATTAGGGAGAAAAGTTCATATAAATTATGATTTATTCATTTATGTACTCTGTAAAATATTAAAATCTTGCCATAACTTAGCTGACCCTAAGCCAAATTTTCAGCACTCTGTTCTCATCATTTTTGTGTTCAATGATTGTGTTATTTTAGATTATTTTCAAGTTGGAAAATGATGTGCTCTTTATTCACATTTGTTTGGAATTCTTAATATTCATTCCTCCTAACTTGATTTTCTTTAGGGAATGATATGACATATTATCAAATCATAGAATCAATTTAAAAAAGGGGGCATTTGCATACATACCAAATAATTCTTATGTATTTACATATCTAACGCCCAAACATTGTTAATTACATGTATACCACTCGAATATTTAGCATCACTTCAAAAATATCATCGTTACAATCTTTTTAAAAAGTTAAATACACGTTTGCATGTATCGGTTTATGACATCTAGATGTTATGATTGCAAATATCAAACTTTGGGTGTTGGATATGTAAAATAGGAAAGAATTGCGGTATGTATGTAAAATTTCCAAAAAAAAAAAAAAAAAAATCTCGAATCTTCGAGTAAGCTGTTGTCCTGAACGAAACTGCAATTTTATTGAATAGAAATGCTTTGCTTGCTCGGTCTGGCTTTTGTTTGGTTTCATCGTGGCTCAGATGATGAGTCTCCCATTCCCAGCGTTCTTATGTAGCCTAATTAGATAAATGTGTTGTTTGTTGTGTTGATTTGAATTATGATTTATTCCTTGATGGTCGCATATTGTAATGTATTCTCACTACATTTTGCCATTGACCACGAATGCATTCATATTCGTGCCATCTTCACTCTTATTTTCCTATCGCCTCTGTGTCATTTCTTGGATCCCATGCAACAACTGGCTCTCAGTGTCATCACCCATTTGCCCTTACATTGGATGAAATCATACATGTGAATGGGTGCGAATTTGGTCGTATTGTGGTGGCTTTCACTATAATATCATCACAATACCACCAATCACTATAATACAACCAATCCGTAGTGTGGATTCCGCACGTAATATTCTCTTCTTATATTGGCTTCTAGTAAGCATGTTTCTAGGCGAGAGCACACAATCAATCAATGTTGTTTAGTTGTTGCTCAATATTCCACTAATTTTTGCTATGACTGGCACAAGCCAATTTTGAGCTGAGATGGACTCGATTCGAAAGTGAATCGAGCTCAATCCAGCTCGAAGTAGAAATGAACTGGCTTAATCTCTTCATCACAGTCACCTATTTGTTGCTTTTTAAAATGTCTATACCACTTCACTCATGGTGTTAGCATAGCTTCGGTCATCTTTTAGTATTTAATTCTGAATTATATTGTTTGCTAATTTAAGTTAGATTTATAATCTCTTAGTGTCATCGATTCTCCATTGCAATCCATTGCAATATAGCGGAAGTTGTAAATTTCAGTTTTCATCTCGATTATTATATGTTATTGGCCTCTTGAAATGTTTATTAATAGATGTACACTACTTGTTACTCTTTTCATTGGTGGCCAATTTAAGCAAATTTATGTTCAAAACTAAGAAGTCTAACTGTTGCACAATAGTAAAAATGAAAATAAACAATTATTTCCATAATATGCTACCAGTGAGCGGATCACATCAACACAATAAATAGTTGGATCCCGACCAAGCGAGCAAACAAACTCTCGATTTTGTCCAAACAATGATCCGCCGGTCCTAGAGATGTTCGGGGCCCATCATATGCTTCCCCGCATATCTAAGGATGATTAACTGGACGATCGATCCCAACATCCTCGCTTGTGATTCAACCGTCATCGCCCAACACCTGGCCTATAGTCACAGATGCCCCGATGGGATCTTCGTTCAAGTTTATCGGAGCCGGGTCATATGCACCAAGAATAATCAAAGGGAAAAAAAAAATACTTAAAACAAAATCAAACCCCACAAACAAGATAAAATACTCCTCATACCCATAAGCAGATTTTACTCATACACAATAAATGACGTGGCAGGCTCATCAGAAAGCACTGTTGAAAACGAATGAAGCGCGCCATATGATATTTGAGTGACCTGGTCGACTGGTGGGTCCTGAGCTACAACGGAAGGTTGAACGATTAGATCGAAGGTTAGGCCAATCGGATGACGGTCCCTGCATGTTATATCGTGGATCGAATTAGGCTAACCCAACTGATATGATAGTGTGAGCACAATTTTCTTCTTCTTCATGATGACCCTTTTCTTCTTCTCACCCTTTGATCATTCTCAACCTTTTGGTTTCCCGAAGACAAAACAAACAAACTTTTGGTGGGAATGTCAGTTGGGACTTCAATAAATTGTTCCTTGCGACACCTGAAAAATGGAAGTCTACTGACTCAATCAAGGAAAGACGCATTGCAACTTAGGAATGAGAAGGTATCATATCATTCCTTATTTATAAGAAACAAAGTTTCTAAAATAAAAAGAGTCCAATCATTAGATCATTAATTAAAATTAAATGTGATATACTTTTGCATTAAATCCTCTTACTATTATTATACAACCGCTTTCAAGAAATAAGAGAATCAAGAAATTAAAACATGTATATCAAGAAGGTGTTTGCATTAATCTTAAAATATGTACAGTAAGAGAAAAGTGCAACGGAGGCAGAGCCGCTGCCAGGAGGTCGCGAGGCACCCTTGACGGAATGAGCAATGCAAGCCATGCCAACTTGGCCAAAACTAACCGAGTTACAAGGCGAACAAAAAAATGACCAGCTAATCTAAGCATGAGGCATCTGACCGAAAATAAGACGAGAACATTCATGCCAACCTAGCAAAGCCCCAGTGGAGCTAATCTAAAGAAGGATCCAGTTCCACAAAAGTATCTCTCGATCATTCCTTTATGAATGCTGGTTGTTTTTTTATGTAGGAGCATTCTCATGCTTTCAAATAACTTCATATAAAAATTGAGTACTATTTAATTTTAATGTGTCAATTAAAAATGAAATGAAGGGCTCGTCCCGGAATTAGGGCTGTAAACGAGCCGAGCCTGAGCGAGCTCAGAGTCGGCTCGTGTTCGAAATCGCTCGTGAACAATGTGTTCGTGTTCAGCTCGAATAATTTTTTCCTTTTCGTGTTCGGCTCGAAATTGGCTGGTTATAATAAAAATTATTTGTTCGTGTTCGGCTCGAAATTAGCTCGTTATAATAAAAATTATTAAATACTATTTAATTTTTAAATATAAAATAAGAATTTTATGTAAAATTTTTAAACATCAAATTTGAGACAAGAACCAAAGATATTTATCAACTAAATAAAAGTGTTTAACTAAAAAAAATTACAAGAGCAAATTGAAGACAATTTTTCAGCAATAAAAAAATTTAATATTGTTTTACAAAAAAATTAACAAAATTAAGAATCCTAAAAATTAATTATGCACTGAAGAAATTATAAATTTTTTTCGGGTTAACCAAAATCATTTTAGTGTGATATTATAGATAGAAGTTACGAGTCCAAAATATTTGAGTGAGTTGAACTGAAGAAATACTATAACTTGTAATGGTTACTAGCAGAACAACATATGCTCAACACAACGAACAATTACAGAAAGCAAGAAATGGCTTGTAACTGTTCAACGCACCCAACAATTACATCCGAACAAATTATAAGCTATAGCACGGTAAAGCTTAAAGACATCTCAGTTGTTCATGAGACAAAGTTGCTCATTCCACAATGAGGGCTGCCGTGCCGAAGAACGAGCTTCAATCCCTTGACAGTTCCTTCTACTTCAACCATTCGTGCATACGCAAATTGTTGATGACCGTTTTCAAATTGTGGACTCACGAGATTTTCTCTAAATTCCTTAGGCGTACATAAGACGTACGCAGCGCTGCGTACGTCCAGGGGTTATTCAGAGGGTACAGGGGGGTTATATCGGGGTTATACCCCTCTGTAACCTCCCTGTAATCTATCTGTAACTTACAAATGAGTTCCGCGCTTCTATAGTTTTATGGGAACAAATAAGTTACACGGAGGTTACAGGGGAGTTGCACGGAGGTTACAGGGGGGTATAACTCGGATATAACCCCCTGTACCCCTTGAATAACCCCTGATGTACGCAGCGCTGCGTACGTCTTATGTATGCAAATATTTTCCGCGTCTCACACAGCAATCCCTGTTCAGTACAATAAATATGAGGAAGGTTCACATGCATACCACGCAATTCTTATGTATTTACATATCTAACACCTAAAATTAATTTTTTACATACACGCCACCTTATGTAACAATTGTAGCATATGTGATATGAAAGATTTGGGTGGTATAAACGTAAAAATCTAAGGTTAGGCGTTAGATATGAAAATACATAAGAATTGTGTGGTAAGAATTGTGTGGTATGTATGTAATGTAAATGCTAATATTACTTCACCTCAGCCATGGCTTTGATCCTCTGTGTGGTGCTACTAGTTAGTAGCATTAACTCGCCACCATCTTTCATTTTCTTGAACACAGGTTAGCACAGCAAGTTCATTCCCCGAGCACACTATGCACCGCTTTCAGAGAGCTCGTAGGAGCTGCAAAATTTTAGAGAACAACAAAACAAAATAGCCAAATGTATATATAAATGTAAGAGTTGTCTCATTTTAATTCTATGAATCTTATGAGAACATAAGCTCATCATCTTCAACAGCACTCCAATGAATTGTCCCATTCATTCCATTATCTGAACCATTGAATAGAGAGGCATTCTATTCGCATATGTAAATTAGCTTTGAAAATTGATCCATTATCTTCTAGCTGCTCGCTATAAACATTTACGATATCTAAAAGGGGGTTAGATAAACATTTATAATTTACATATGAAAGAGTTGAGCATGCATATTTTTATAAAAATTAAGTGATAAGCGTATGAAACATCAAAATGGGATATAATAATTTAAATTAGAGATGGGCTCAGACTAGACTTTTATTTATCACAATCTCAAAGGCAACTGAAGTATCGAAGTCTATATATTAATATCAATCAAAAGTCACCAGCAAATCATCCTAAAATTGGACAATTTTAAACACTGTCACTTAATTGATGAGTGAACGTGTAAGTAGTATATGAACTTTTAAACTAAAGGCGTAGTGT